CCTAAAATCTTTGCTTTTTGATTTTTGTCTCAAAATCGGACTAAAAAATTCGTCGCTCGCTCGCTATACCCATCGAGTTGTTTCTCTTATAGATAATGGTTTGCGCAACATTCACAGCGCGACTTTTGCAGAGTGACAAACACTACGTTTTTGTCAGATTATACCGATGTGTTGTGGAAATACGTTATTAGTCTACTTTATATTATAGAAGAAGAGGCTTTGGAGTATGTGTCTAATAGATCTTCCTCTATTCTCTACGCAAAAAGCTATAACGTAGGAACATTTTCTAGTCATCAAAACGCAATCGTATATTTGCCACCGGGTATTATTGTCGTTTAGCCGCAGCCGGAACCATAATAACCATTTATAAACAAATAACGTTAACACGATAAAGAATATATTACCTTTTACTATCCAGATTATAGTTGAACGTAAACTCGCTAATTAAATCTCTGTCTAGAAATAATTGTATTTACAATCCAACATTTACTTCAGAATTCATAGAAACCAAAACTTGGACGACCAAACTATTTGTCATGATACATACGAACCACTCATGTATATTGCTATGGCTTGGAAACAGCGACACTTGCACAGGAGAGTTTATTCATGCGATTGCTAGAATATACTCGCCTTTAACTCCTCCGACTTATAGACATAAACAAATACACTAAGTATAAAAAAGTTAGAAGAGATAATTTAAACTTACACGAATAACTGTTAGTATACGAACGAGCAAACGGTTTGAAATTTCCCTGCGTATAGTATATGACAAGCCCTGATACCCGTAAAATATCGGTTCGATTAACTGTCTCACAGGAAAAGCACATCAGAACATATCAAACCGGATATCGCATAGTTTGGAACGTAAACTTTAACTCCATATCTCCACATGTTTTACAAATTAGTAACTCATACTCGAAATAGAAAATCTCGAAATAATTATAGCGATAATCAGGTAAACTTTGTCATATTTATTTACTTTTCCATTAATTTCCTACATTAATCTACTACTTAACAATTTCAAAGTTAACAAATATAAGTTACTTTTTTGACCAGAAACAATGTTTGTCTATAATACGGGACGTTTTTAGAAGAAAAATTCTATGTTAATGTTGGTTTCTCACAATTATTTAACGGGCAAAAAATTAGACATGAATATAAATACAGTAATGCGTACGTGTATACGTACTTCAACATTTCGGTATACCGTGCTGATTTAGGAAATCTTCGTTATAAGGCCATCTTCGTTAAACCCTGCAATAAGTTGTGTTTTTATTGATATTTAGTCATCATATTCAGCATATAGTAATATATAGAATTGACGTAACAATAAGCATAAACCATTATTAAATTATTTATTTGTTAATTTATATATAGATATAAATTCGCTTTCTTTATAAATAATTAGCTAATAACAAATATATATTGTTGCAAAGCCATCGGAGTAGTCCAATATCGGACATAGGGATGCCTTGGGCACAGTTTAGACTATATCCGCAAGTATTTTGAGTAGATACGCAAGCTCATTAGAATACAATTATATTACGACGCTGCTAAATTATTTCGATAGCAATACATTTTTCTAATTATATATTTATTAAAATACATATTAATAAAATTGTGTTCGGGCAAGCAACTGCAACTGCTAAATCCGTTGTTGCATGATTGCTTGTCGTTGCATCCGCGCTTCATGTAGCCGACGTTCTTCTTCAATTACTCTTTCTGTAATTCTTCTATCCTTCGTCGTTTCCATTCGTGAAATTCTTTTGTTAGTTTTTCTTGTTCACATTGGAATACTTCTTTAATAGTCTTCGTTATTCGGACTATCTTCTTGCGTCGAAGTCGTCTTCGTTTATCTTGTTCCTTTTTATTTCCGTTTTGAACGCTCTTCCAATCTTCCCAATTTAAAATCGATAGTAAATAAAGATAAACACAAAATAAGGTAAATAGTAATTTTTTCCTACAAAATCGAGCGTAACGAAAAACAAAATCGATAAGATAAATATCGCTCCCAAGGGAAACGAAAAACTGCTTCTTCTTCTTTATTTTCTTGTTTTTTTTTCTTCATCGAGAGATTGTCAATTGTTCGGTTGAACGTGTCTTGGCGGAGTTGAACGTATTTTGCCATTTTAAAGTTGTAAGCTCTTGTTTCTTTTTGACAAACACTAACAAGAGGAAAGGTGTAAAGAAGTATGAGCGATCGCAAAGAAAATATTTATCTTCTGATCCATGTCCTATGATTTGTATACTATCGGCCAAATTGATAAACAGTCTACAGTCAATCGTGCAGTAACGTGATCCGTAATTTGAGGTTTGGGAAGGTTTTTATTCGGCACACATGCATGGGTGACCCCTTATTTACTGCGCGCTGCTGCTGACAACTTATTACATATAAAACATATAAATAAATATGATCCGTAATTTTGATGTTTCGTGATCTTTATTACCAACAAAATACTGGTCAAAGTGACCGGGTTCTGAATTAAGTCTCAAACTCACGATAAAGCTCTTTTTTATGATTATTTGCATACGCGTTAACCGTACTAATCTAAGCAAAGATGTAGTAACTTGAGGTACCAAAAAATTATCGTAGACCCGTGACTGAGCATTATTTAGTTCAAAAAAGACAGTCCCATGACAGCTACAACATCATCGAGAGAATGTTTAAAGAGT